TAAATCATGGTAAAGCCCTTCGATTTTAAAGCATGTTTTAAACTGTTTTTGAGATGGTGGCAAGGTTTAAATTGATTTTAAATTGATTTTATCAGCATTTGAATGTGATTAAACTGAAATGGAAATTGTGATGATTTTCATGAGAATTTCCTTGTTTTTTCGAAATTGAGCATGATTGGAATGAAAATGAGGATTTTATTGATTTTCTGGAAATGAGCATGATTGAGAAATGAAAATGAAAATTTCATTGTTTTTCTGGAGTTGAGCATGCCTATTTGAGAATTGACTGAACTGCTTTGATGAACTGAGAATTTTGTAAATGTTGAGTTTTCTGTTAAATCCATGCCCGCATGGAAATTTTCCGGTTTGTGTTGAAATTCGGGATTGATTGTGAAATTGGGGTTTTTCTGTAAATCCTGCATGGTTTTGTCTCGAATTTAGTCATGATTACTGACGCCCGTTAGTGGGAGCTGTAAACGCTAGCACATGTCGACATGTATTTTTGTAGAACCGGTTCACCCTGCCAATGGGGTTAAACATTGGGCATTACTGACGCCTGCCAGTGGGAGTTGTAAACACTGGTACTATTACTGACGCCTGCCAATGGGAGTTTGTAAACATTGGTACTTCTGAAACCCTACCAATGGGGTTAAACATTGGTAATATTACTGATGCCTGCCAGTGGGAGTTTGTAAACACTGGTACTATTACTGACGCTTGCTAGTGGGAGTGTGTTAAACACTGGCCATGACTTATGGATGAGACTACTAAACTGAGTTTTATTCTGCATGAACGGTTTGTCATGAATGCTTTGCAATTGAACTGAATCTGATTTTGTCACTGAGCGTTTCGGTTATATTAAACTGTTTATCTAACATGCTTAAAAGTTTTACCCAAGGGCTATCCATATTTACTTACTGAGTTATCTCATAGTTTTCCTTGTCCACCATTTCAGGAAGCGAAACCGAGGACGGGGAAACTGAGGGGAGTGACGAATTAGAAGGCTAGCCATTCAATTGGGGTATAAGTTTTAGATTTTATCATCCTTTTGTAAGGTTGATTTTATTCATGAGATTTTGTGATTTGGATAAGTTCCGAGCCTTGTGCATTCGTGGGATCTGTTCACGGGTGCACGGCGTCTACCACGTTTTCAGATTTGGGTTCTGGGACGTGACACATAATCACAAATTATTATATTGAAAGAGCTCACCCCAATATTTAATTGGCCTATTCCATTTAATGATTCATGTTGTGCAGCCAAATGGAATTGAAACTTTTGCCCATTACCTTTTTTAATTGAAAATGGTTTGTCTAACCTATTCCTAAAAGCACAAGTTAAGAATATATTAAATACGTTTTTTATTATAAATTCGTATTAAAAAATAAAAATTAATATTTAATTTATCAATTATCCAATTAAATTCACCAACTTGGCACTAACACTTAAATTAATATCAAATTTTATACTTTTCTATATACATTTATAATAAAAAAAACTATTCTTAACCTATATGCTACGGGCAAGGTTAGAAAAACCCATTGAAAATTTGTAACTATATTTAAAGTAAGTACTCCCTTGCTCTCAACCTACTTGTTACATTTTTCCTTCTAAAATGATATAATTGCAATGCAACGTAACATTATAAATTTATAATTATAAGATATCATCATATAATTGACTCCCTTTAATTTAATGATCTACGTATTATATCGTATACATCTATTCTTTTAATTATATTTATAATTGTATTTTACATGATATTAAAACTTTATCATCGCTATTTTTTCTTTTTCTTCTGAGAATAGTAAAAATCAAAACTTCTTAGCATTTTTAATGTTAAAACTTTTTGTGAAATTATTTAAATATTTTTAATAAATTATTTTTATAAGTTAATTAATTAAAAATATTTAAATAATTTTATAAAAAATATTTTAACATTTTAATTACTAGCACATCTTAACTTTTGGAAATCCTTTTCTTTTCTAGTACATCATTGCTATTTTTTCATAACAATATTATGAAGAAAATTACAAAGATTTATGAATATTCAATTATTATGTAATAAAATTTCATATTTACCTTTCTTTGACTTTTAATTAAGGACTTAATTAATAATAGAAGTTGAAAAGTGTGACAAGTAAATAGGAAATTTAGGGTACATTTGACGAAAAAAATTAATATTTTGTTTAAAATAAAAATGGTTTAATACCCAATTTGGTCCTTAAACTTTCATTTGAAAACTTTGTTCGTCCTTTAACAAATGAAAGCACTCAAGTTGTCCTTTAACTTTATTTATTTGGAACCCAAATGGTCCTTCCGTCACGGAAGTGCCCAGCTGGCACGTTAACTTCCCACGAGTTAATCCTTTTATTTCAGAAAAACTACGTGGAAAAAAAATGATGCTTTGTTAATCTTAACATTGACCTTTCCCTTATCTTCAACCCCATCCCTCTCTTGCCATTTTTGTTCCTTGTTCTGTTCTCCAGCACCGACATCAGCCATTCCTTTTCTCTGCAATTTCTTCTCCGAACCCTAGATTCCTTCTTCGACCCTTAAATCCTCTACAATTTCTTCTCTGAACCCTAGAGCCTCTTGGGATTAAATCTGCAACGTTGCAATGGAGTTAGCAGCAGTGCAGTTGATATGCTCATGGAGCAGTTATGGAGGTGTGATATCCTTTTCTGAGCAGTTTCTGAACAGGAAGGGTAGACCCTCCAAATAACAACGCATGAGGTATGAGTCTCGTGATGCCTCAGACTAGTTTTGTGAGTGATGGCATTATGTTTAGTTTTTGGGTCCATCTGCTATGGGTCTTCTATCATCCAGTGCTCAGTCCCCTTTTCCAGGGAATATGGCCATTCTATCCTCTTTTTTTTTTTCTTTTTTTGCAGATTTCTGTTTAATAGAAATCTGTTAATACATTTTGCCCAACAAATGGGCATTGGTTTCTTCTTGGCCAAAATCCCTGAGAACACAGTTACTGGGTCCTGAATTTTAGGGCATGTTTCTTTGATTTTAGCTTTTTTATATTGCTGGGTGCTAGCACCTGGTGTTTTAGCTTGGTCTTGCCAACTCATCTTTGGGCGAAAGCTTTTCTTCCTCCCCTCAGGCATCTCACTACGAAGTTGGCAGTGTTTCCACTGGTTCTTCACATGATAGTTCAATCCTCTGTTTTGCTCAAAGGGTAGGTTGAAGTCTTCACTTCCACCATGCTTTTCACAGTCAAGAGTTTTGGTGCCTTGCTTTTTATGGGCTTTGGCCATGGCAGCAATTTAGTGTCTGTCATCACAACTCCTAAATATCTCTAAGAAACAGCCAAAGACAAACTTTCTCAAAAATTATCGGTTCAATTTTTTGTTTTTTATTTTTAAAAAGAATCACAAATAGGGTTCAAGAGACCTATTTGAATGAAAAAAAAAGGGGGTTCACAGCGGCTTCTTCCTTCCTCTATTTCAATGTCTGCAACATCTATTTATCGGATCTTCCCCCAGAACTCCTTTACCAAATTTTCGACCAGAACTTGGATTTGGATGATCTCGTCATGTGGTTTAGTGTGTACCCCTTGGCAATCTTTTATCAAATTGCTTTATCATCGCCACAAGTCCACTGCTCCTGGGTTATGGTTGCTTCCACCCAAGTTTGATCGGAAAAGACAATACTGCCGGATCTCAAGAAAAGGGAAATGAGGAAAGAGGAAGGAGGAGGGTGGAGAGTAGAGAGAAAAATGAGAAAGGGAAAGAATGATGCCGCTGGTATTGGTGTTGATGTTGGTGCTGGAGAACAGGAAAAGAAACAAAAATGGCAGAGAGGGATAGGGGTTGAAGATGGGGGTTGAAGATAAGGGAAAGGTCAATATTAACATTACCAAAGCATCATTTTTTTTCCACGTAGTTTTTCTGAAATAAAAGGATTAATTCGTGGCAAGTTAATGTGCCAGCTGGGCACTTCCGTGACGGAAGGACCATTTGGGTTCCAAATAAATAAAGTTAAAGGATAACTTGAGTGCTTTCATTTGTTAAAGGACGAACAAAGTTCTCAAATGAAAGTTTAAGGATCAAATTGGGTATTAAACCAATAAAAATTAACAAATAAATTAAAACACGTTCTTTTAGAAAGTATGGGAACTGAATTGGACCCTGTGGTGGAACCAAAAAGAAAAAATGAAAAA